TATGAGATATATGATTAGTGATCATGAGACATGTGATTTTGGTGATGAGCAAAATAATGTAGTTATGAGTCAAAGGGTATTTAGTTATGAGATATGTGATATTGGTTATAATCAAAGTGGTGTAGTTATAAGCCAAAAGGTGTTGGTTATGAAATATGTGATTAGTGGATATGATATATGTGATATTGTTATGAGTCAAATGGTGTTAGTTATGAGTTATGAGATATATGATAATTAGTGATTATAAGATATGTGATTTTGTTTATGAGCAAAGTGGTGTGATTATGAGTCAAAAGGTACTTGGTTATGAGATATGTGATATTGATTATGATCAAAGTGGTGTGGTTATGAGTAAAAGGGTGTTGGTTATGAGATATGTGAGGTTGGCTATGAGTGTCGGTTATGAGATGTGATTACGAGCTATATGGATAGTGGTTATGAGATATGTGATATTGGTTATACGAGCCAAAAGGTGTTGGTTATGAAGGTGTTGGTTATGAGATGTGGTTATAAAATATGTGATGGTAGCTCATTGTGAAGAATAAAGAAATATTAAGAATGCATTTCAGAGTAGAATCAATCGATTCACTCACTGTCAATAGCATGAATCTTTGATTGATAAATATATATATATATATATATAACCAAAAAAATTTCAACCAGTATTAATGTGACTGGCAATTTTAAAATTATAAATCATCATAAAAGGGTGTTTTAGTTGAAAATTAAATGAATATCAAAAAAATATTTATTTTCTTTATATATTTTCATGATTTTTCTTGATTTGAATCTCACAAAATGTCTCACTAACCGTTTATGAAAACGTCGTGGAGGAGACAAATATTAAACAAGCCATAGTAATGGAATTATTTAAAAAGAAAAAAAAAACCATATTATGATGTTTGAAGATGCTTGAATTCCGGAAGGTCTTTAGTCATTGGGTAGATGCATGTTGTGATGTGGTATTTAATAAACTTGAGAAGGTATTTTTAAAATACAAAAAAAATAAAGAACATATATGCTCTTTTGATTTTTAAAATAGTAATAGATAATCACAATATAATTTATAACTTTCACTTTAGATATATACATCATAAATTTATTGTTCATAACTTTTAATACAAAGGGACATAATACACCACAAAATGATAAGCTTTTGTAGTCTGATTGTATAATAAATAGATGATTTAAAATAACCGAACAAAGGAGATCCACATAGGATCCCAATTTCAATGATCCGAACCGTTCACATTTTAAGATTTGTCGAGTATATCATAGTTGTAAAAAAATCAAGTCGATCGGATATCAGAAACCACGTGTTCGGATAACTGTTTATTAAATTTTTTTTAATAAACGATTTTAGTTTGATGATCCAAACATGTGGTTTCTAATATCCGATCAACTTGATTTTTTACAAGTATGATATATTCAACAAATCCTAAAATGTGAACGGTTCAAATAATCGAAATTGGGCCCACAAGTGAGCCCAATGACTCACCATGTAAAACGGCAAGGAGAGGATCCTTGCGCCATAGGATTCCCTATATTTTGCAGGGCTTTTTTTCTTTTTGGATGTCTTTCTTCCCTCCATGGAAAATTATTAAGTTTGGTATTATATATATATATATATATATTTTTTTTTTTTTATCTCCTTAATTAAAAACTTCTTTTTCACATTCGAGGTAGGCTTGAAGGACACCGCAATACTTATTGCGATTGCATGTTGAAAGTTAGATTTGGTGTTCAAATCTTTGTTCACTTTTTCTTATGATATGTGTCCTTTAATTTTTTTAAAAATAATTTTAGATATTCATCTTTAATTTTTCTGAATTTATTCCGAATGAGATTGCGTGGTTGTGATTGAATTTGTGTAGTGATGTTTGTATAAAATAAATCTGAACCACAAGATAAAGATTCTGAATAATTTCTAAATTGATAAAGATGGATTTGTAGTATTATTCATTTCTCTATTTTTTTTAAAAAAAAAACATTATATAGAGGAGTGCACACCACTTAAGCAATACATATTATGATGTTAATTTTATTATTATTTTTACTTATTTAAATTGCACACACATCGCGTGTGCTAACTGATAGTCTTCATAAAATTCATTATCTACTCTAATAACATATTAACCTATTAACTAGTTATTTATGTAAAAATTTAAATTATTAAGAGATTTTACTAGCAAGCTAAGCCAAACTTGAGGTTATTTGAACCTCCCCAAAAGCTTTCTATTGTAAGAGAAAGTTCTAATAAATTTCCTCTTTGAAAAAAAAAATTGTATATATAGATCAATGTATTCATCATTTAAAATTTGAAGTACGATCAAATTGATTTATTAGAAACTTGATGGGAAAGGAGGTCTTTATGGTCAACTAGATCAACCAGTCAAAACGCGGCCCAAATTTTATTATTTATTGAGAAAATGGGGTCACCTTAATTTATTGGGTAAATTACACTTATCAATTTGGAAATTTATTAAAAAAAAAATATCAAATTTCATAATTTTAATATAATTATGTTAAATTTTTTTAATATTTTAATTTACATGACATTTAATTCTATTTTTTTAACAATTTGTTAGTCATAAAATGGTTACATTGAATTTTTTTTATTATTGTATCTTGTGATGAATTTTTTTTGTTAGTCAGGAAAATATATTTATTGATTATTGTATTTTGTGATGAAAATTAAGAATATTTGTGGTGTACGTTATGTCACTCACTCTATGATAAAAGTTACAAATGGTGAATCTATGATGCACACAACTAAAGAAAAATTTATAACCATTGTGATTATGTATATTACAAATAATTTATGATGAGAAATGTTAGGAATAATTTTGGTTATAAAATTACAACATACTATTTAGTGTTTGTTTTGAAATGCTATAATTATATTATACATATTGTAATAGAATACATATGATATACACCGTGTGAAAGGAGGCACATTGTTATGAAAATATTATTTTGCCCCCACAGCTATTACTTAAAAATCAAAGCAGTTTTTATTCTTCTAATAAAATCAATTTTACATATAAACTATTTAATTTTATCCTCACCATCAATCGTCATCTATAATTAGACAGAAGTTGTTGATATGACCCTCAAATTTCATTTTACCTTCCAAATTATTTTTAAAATAACAATTAGACCCTTGGACAAAATGAAATTTGAGGGTCTAATTAATATTTTATAGATAATTTGGGGGATAAAATGAAGTTTTAAATGAAAACATGATGCCAAGTTAGCAAATTTTGTCTGATCATAGACAACAGTTGACAACGGGGTAAAATTGATCCAAAATTGAATGGTTTATGTGTAAAATTCATATAATCAAAAGAATGGATGTTGAATTGATTTTGCGTGATAGTTTGGAGACAAAGTAAAACTTCATTCACATTGTTTAAAGGAGGGTTGAGCTTCTCCATGGAATCCATTACAAGTTCCATTTCAATGATCTTAATTATTTATTTTGTAAGGTTTTTAATGTATATTATTTATACAGAAAAATTAAGTTGAACCAATAATCATAAATTTTTTATTTTATTATTTTTGAAAAATTAAACAAATATTTTTATTAAAATTGACTATTTTTTTTTTAAAAAAAATAAGATAAAATGAAAATATTATAATTATTGAATCAATTTAATTTTTTTTATAAATAATATACACACAAAAAATTTATAAAATAAATAATTCAAATCATTAAAATAAAATTCATAATAAGCTTTGGCTTGGTTTGGGAAGTAGGTTGGCTTTTTGGCTTTTTGGCTTTTTTGGCTATTTTAGCCTGAGCTAAAAAGCTTGGTTTGGAAAGAGCTTTTTGGCTTTTTGGCTTTTTTGACTTTTTTTGTGAGAGAAGAATGTAATGATTATAGGTTGGATGTGATGTTTTGTTTGTTATGGCTAAAATAGCCTATTTTGTTTTTTGTGGCTAAAATAGCCAAAAAAAGCCCTGTAGGCAACTTGCGACAGAGGCTTTATAAATCAAAAACGGAACCCGTATAAATTCACTGAGTAACTGTTAGGGATTATGAAAAAAATTATTCAAAAAGGATGATTATAAAAATTTACTGGGTTATTTACACATAAAACAAAACCACCATACACTATCAAAAACTAAAATCTTTATAAAAATATTTTCATAATACTATATATATATATATATATATTTATAAGTTGATGATCCTAATCAGTTGTGTTTTTTGGAGTTTTTTCAATAAGTTTTTTTGGAAGAATTGAGTTATTTTATTTTCATTTTTTTTTATTTTTTAGTGAATAATTTTTAAAATTTTAAACATTTTTTTTACTTTTTTAGATGCACCTTACTTAGGTGTATCTAAAAAGTAAAAAATTTATAAAAAAATATTTTTAAAAATTAATAAATACGTAAAAATATAAAAAAATGTACTAAATTCTCTTTTTTTTTTGTATTTTTCGTATTTAGTGAATTTTTAAAAGGTTTTTTTCAATTTTTTTTTAGGTATACTTATGTTAAGAATGTCTAAAAATTAAAAAAGTTGTTAAAAATATTAAAAAAATTAAGTAAAAATAAAAAAATAAAATTTTCGAAAAATAATTTTAAAAAATGACCCTCAAGATCTCTCGAGACAAAGCGATTCAACAACTTTGGTCTCCGGCCAGTGGGCCATATTTCTTCCCCGCATCTCATCAATTATTGCCTCGGTAAACATCTGTAGTAGGCCACCCCCTTCTTTATCTCTTCTGTACCTTTTCTCAGTCTCACTTGGTGTCTCTCTCTCTCTCTCTCTCTCTCTCTCTCTCTCTCATGGTGTCAGCGTTTCTTCTCTCTCATGATCCATCCCTCTCTTTGAAACCCTGACTATCAAAGAAAAAACGTGTTCACTCTCTCTCATGATCCATTGTTCTCTTTGAAACCCAGACCAGACCATCAAAGAAAAAACTTCTCTCTCTCTCTCTAGCCAAGACTCAAACACGACCCTGTTTTGGTAGTAGTTCCTTTAAAAGCCATGGACAGTATTATCTCCCAACCAAATCCACTTAACAACCACCACCACAAAGCTACCACCGCCCCAAACAACAACGACGACTACCAAGTTGCAGATCCTGATCTCACTAACATGATTGGTCGAGATCTCAATTTCATGAAAGAGACCATGACACAGATTCAGAAGTTTGTAGATCATATGAATGTGCAAATCAACCAGGCTTGTGAGAAATTTGAGGAGCTCAAAACAAGAGGAGGGAGTGATACTAACGAACTCGACCAACTGAAAATGTCTGTCAAGAAGTTGAAATCCCAGATTCCCTCCAAGCTTAAAATCCATTATGATGATGATTCAAAACCACATCGGAAACCATGGTTTGATGGATCCATTAACAGTAGCAGCAGCAACTACCAAGTCGATGTAAACAAGGCCGGTTATTTGCACAGCTTGGACAAGGAGCCAAAGTTTGATCGCACCACTGCACTTGAAGATATTCGGGTATCTTTCTCTAGACTCCCCTGTAAACTACAAGATTGTTTGTCTTTTTTCTCCATGTTCCCAGAAATGGTTACTATAAAGAAAAGCCTTATGAATAACTGGTGGATTGGAGGGGGACTTCTGATGGCCCAAAACACAGAAGAAGAAATTGTGTTGGGGAAGACGGCAGAGGATTTTGTCAACGAGATCTCGGATGAGCTTATTGCAAAGGGCTTCATCGAGCCTATCTACAAAAATTGTGGATTGGCTGTGGATAGCTACAGGATGCCCCCTGCCATTCGTCGTTTTTTAACCACTGAACCAATGGGGATTTCGTTTGGTAAGTCCGTGCATCATGGCTTCACCCAGGGGTTTCATGGCATTGTCAACGTTGATGCGGCTATTATTGATGGAAGACAAGAAATTCTTTTCAAATATACCGACTCTTCGAGAGTTGTTTACTTGGGAAGGTGGCAGAACTCGCTCACACATCACATTGAAGTCCCAGACGTCAAAATTCTCAATTTTCTCAAGAATATGAAACAATGTTTGGGGTTTCTTAGCCTTCGAGGAATTTCTTTGGTTAAAGAACTTCCTCAGTTCATTTCAAAACTGACTAATCTTAAGATTCTGGATCTCAAAGCATGTCACAATCTTGAGGTGGTTCCAGATTGGATTGGCTTGCTTGAAAATTTGGCACACTTGGATATTTCTGAGTGTTACCTTTTAGATCACATGCCCAAGGGGCTTGGTGCACTATCCAATCTCGAAGTCCTTAAGGGATTTATTATTGGAGATTCCAAGGACAAAAAGTCATGTACTATCAATGATTTGACAAAATTGTCAAAGCTACGAAAATTGAGCATATCCACAAGTATGAAAGAATTTCCAATAGATCGGCAGCTTTATCATTTACAAAGATTAAAATTTCTACAGAAGTTGAAAATATCTTGGTCAGGATGCATTTTACGAGGTAAAACTGATAATTCACCTAAGCAAGCACAACTATTTTCCAAGCAAACAACGCTGGCAAGATCATTCATTGAACAACATGATCCAAAACTTCCTCTCTCATTAGAACTTCCTTCATCGTTGCAAAAACTAGAGCTTGAGTGTTTTCCTGAGATAGATACACCCAGTTGGTTATGGTCTGACAATTTGAAGAACTTGAAGAAACTTTATATCAGAGGAGGACGATTGTGTAATCTGGACAAAATAGTAGCTACCACAGTTGAAATGTTAAAATTGAAGTACTTGAGTAACTTAGAGATGCCTTGGAAAGACATTATGATGTTATTTCCCAATTTGATTTACTTGGAGAAAGTAGAATGTCCTAGCCTTAATTCCTTCCCATGTGATCAGAATGGTGTTTGGATGAGAAAAGATAATCGCATTGATGTGAAATGCGGTGGAAGAAGCCACTAAGAGAGGAAGGGAAATCTCTTTCTATTATCTTTCCTTTTGACTTCTAGGCTGGCAAATTAATGTCTTGAGAGATAGTGGGTGTTTGGGAAGTAAGTTTTTATGTAAATTTTTTTAATTGTATGATATTATTGGAGAATTTTTTTTTCTGTGTTTGGGAAGATAGTTGAGTTTTTTTGTGGTTGGATGTGATATTTGTGAGAGAAAAAGTGAAATGATTATAGGGTTTGTTGTGATATTTTGTTTGGATTTGTTGTTTTTGGTTTTGTAACCAATTTGTCTTTTAGTGAAAAAAAAAACAAAAAAACAAAAGTTCTCCTTCCCAAACAGCGCCATAGTAAATAGTAATTTCTCTCTCTCATGAAAAACTAGTTGTATGTATCTACCTATACTATATATATAATCAAATGTAATTGTTTTGTCAAAAGCCTCCAAATATTTATTCCTAAATTCTCATAATTTTAAAACTCTCTCTTTCTTACGTGGCAACCTTCTTTGATTGCCTTTCATATTTTTTATTTTCTTCATTTTCTATTTGTTTGATTAATTAAAATGAAAATTAATTTCATTCTCATAATTTTAAAACTCTCTCTTTCCTACGTGGCAACCTTCTTTGATTGCCTTTCATGTTTTCTATTTTTCTTCATTTTCTATTTGTTTGATTAATTAAAATGAAAATTAATTTCATTGCTTATGGATAAAGATTTGAATTTCAAAATTTCTCCATATAGATAAACATATAAAAACTGAAATTTAATTTAGGAAAATTAATTTTATAGTATACCGATAAAGATAAAAATTAACAATTAATTTAACAAAATTAATTTCATAACTTATAGGTAATTTTAAATTTCTTTTCATAAATAAACATATAAAAGTTGATAAATAACTTATAAAAATTAATTTCATGGCCTACAAATAAAGATAAAGATTAAATAATTGATTTAAAAAAAACGAAATTACTCCTTTTTCCCCCTTCATTTTGTACTTTAATTAATTTCATTATAGATAAACATATAAAAATTCATAAATAATTTATAAAAATTTATTTCATGGCCTATAGATAAAGATAAAAAATTTTAAAATTATTTAAAAAAATTAATTTCATGACTTATAGAGAAATAAACATATAAAAATTGATAAATAATTTATAAAAATTAATTGCGTGGTCTACAGATAAAGATAAAGATTAAATAATTGATTTACAAAAAATTAAAATAATAAAATTTAGATAAAGATATGATTTGTTAATCTATATATCTATCAAAAACATATATATCTAAATTTTTATTTTGATTTACTCATATTTTTTTCTCTTTCTGTCACATATTATCTTCTTCTTTTTTTTTAAATTTTTTATCTTATGAAATGCCCTTATCTATAATTTCTTATCTCCTCTTAAATTCTTAACCTTCTCTTGATGATTTTTTATGATTCGTTAATATCTACCAAGTGATAAAGATTAAAAAATAATAATAATAAAAAAATTATTGACTCTGAATGAGAAGAGTATTAAAATGAAATTGGTTGGCTCTAAATGAGAAGAGTATTAATAATGAAATAATGAAGGTTGGAAGAAAGCAACACAAAAATCTCACAAAATTAATTTTCATCACTATATTTATTCAAGGTAATAATTTGATACTCTTTCTATTAGTTATTAAAAATAGTTTGCATTAAATCGTTGTTATTTTATTTTTATTTATTTTATTTTATTTTTTAAGCTGTCATTCGTTGTAGTATTTCTTAAATTCCATCTCTAAATTCTCTGTTTGAAATTATTGTTTTTTCAATAATAAAGTTTAGAACCAATTTCCTATCAAATTTGTTTTCTTAGTCCTTATTTTATTGAAGAATCGAGATGAGTAAAACTTTCCTATGATATATGAAATTAATAAATATAATGTACCGATCCTGATTTTTCATAAGTCTTTATTTATTTATTTTTTATTATTATTATTATTATTATTATTATTATTATTATTATTATTATTATTATTATTATCATCTTACTTTATTTTTGGCTTTATTAACTATGTGGTTACATGAGAATTTAATGTGGATCATATATATTTATGCTGTATTTATATTGTATTTGTATTATATAATATAATAGCCATTGAGTTATATAATAATATATGAGGCTAGGTGTGCTGCAATTAAGAAGAAAAACAAAAGACCATTAAGTTATATAATAGTATATTAGGTTTGGTGTGCTGCCATTGGGAAGAAAACAAAAGAAAAGAGAGGGCAGCCCCGAGAGAGAGAGAGAGAGAGAGATTAATCACAAAAGAAAAGAGAAAGGGCTCATTGTGATCAATCATTGAGAAAGTCGGATTTTATTTTGGTGCCTTTATTAATTCTCTAAGTGATTCTTTAATCTTTTAAAAAAAATATTGTGAATATAAAATTCATTTCCTTTGATTTATGTTTAATTCGCTGCTTTTATTTATTTATTTTTATTTATTTGATGTTAGTTTGATTTTGTATTTACATAAAGATGATAGATTGATTTTAATTATTTTGGTTAGTTGTGTATGCAAGGTTTAGGGTTTTGTAATATATTTATTTTATGGTTGTAATCACACTCATGAATATATAAAATTAAATAAACTAGGAACCTATAGATAAATTCTTTATACTCCACCATAACTCCATGGATTATTGTTTTATTTGAGTGATAGTGAAAAAGAGTGTATAGTATTATGAGATTTATTTGAATGTCTTAGTCTTGGCATTGTTATGTTTGTTTTCATGAGTAAATGAGAGATTGTATATATATATATATATATATATATCGTTGTCTCGTTTATTTATTGAATCAAATCTATATGTCTTCAAGGTCATTCATCAAGGCTTCTTTACAAGTTTTCAATAAAGTTGCATTTGGGTAAGGCAGAGTATGTCTTTACTGGTAATTTTTTTGAGGGTAGATTACAAAAATAAAAAATAATAATAAAAAACCAGAGTTTGAATTTTGTAAAAAAAAAAAAAACTTTAATTTTTAATTTTATCAATTTAAATTCTAATTTTTTGATTTGTTTTCAATCTAAACTATCGACCTACTTTCCTATAAGCTACAATGAAAGATGTTATCAGATTTGAAAATTTCTTAATTTCAAATGAGTTTTTTTTTTTTAATTTAAATTTTTAACTAAATGTGTAATTTCTTCAACTTTGTAATAAATAATGCTGAGTTTTAATTCTCCACTGCCCTTCATTTTTCTTGCATTAATTTATATTCAATATTTCAGTTACTTTACACATTAACATTTTTATTATGTAAATGTGACGGAATTTAGTGAACTATTTAAAAGGAATATATATAAAAATTTAAAAGATGGGAGTGATAGGTATTGGTATCATTGTGAGAGATTTCATGAGAAATGGCATCAAGCAGTGAGAGAATTGCAAATGAATTTGTTGTGGACAACATTAGAGTAGTTGGGGCATACAAAATTGTGTCTTAATGTCTTGAATTTGTTGCATACAGGCTAAGGAATATTTACTTTTAACCAAACAAATTTGTTTTAATGAAGAAAATTTCTAAATCTGTTGGGAATCATACAAACTGAGAGTAGTTACTTTTAACCATACATATTAGTGGTAATGAAGAAAATTTCTCATCTATTAGGAATATCATTGCTGATCTGATATTAAAGATTGGAGGGGAGTTTTAAATCTGCTTGTATTCATGACAAAATGCTAGAAAATGAAAATGCCCATCTATGGTCACTTTGAATGGAAGAGGTTCTAATTGAGGTTGTTTCTTGTGTCCATTCTGATTTTGTCTGTACTTTATAAATGAAATCATCTTTCTACATAAAAATAATTTTTTTAATTCTTCTACGCGATGTTTTTAAATCGTTACATTAGTAAAAGAGTTCCATCATTCCATACCTTTTCATCCGTAGAATTTATTAGTACAATTCCTACCATATTTACATATTTCTAACATATTCGCATTTCATAGAAACCCAATAAATATATTTTCCACTACAAAATCGCTTGGGTGCCCACAAAGAACAAATGAGGGTCATTTAATTAATAAAATTACAACATTTCCTTTCCCCAAGCAATGCCAAAAGTTTCCACTGAAATGTATCCATAATAATAATAGTTACATAAGGGAAAGAAAAAAATAAAAAATAAAAAGCTAACAGAGATGGTTGTCTTGCAATATATGAACTTCAAATCACTCATGCCAGTTCCAATAATCCTTTAGGCTTTGTCAAAATCATTTAAAAACCTATATTCCAACCAAAAGAAGTATGTCAATGTGAAATGCAATTAAAAAAAAACTTAAGCTGATTACCACAAAAGTATAAACTCCCTCTATGTAAACTTTAAACATATATAATGTAGTAAATATTTTTAGTAAAATTTTCTAACAAATCTAACCCCAACAAAAAATCTGATCCTAGCTCAATAAATCAAATACAAGCTCCCCAAACAAAGATTCGAATATGTTTAGGCAAAACATTAAAAGAAAAGGCTCGTCAATGGACCTGCATAGCCCTTTCAAACCTCCAAAACCTGAAAATTTTCCAATTGAAAACAAAAATACTATAGCGATCCCGGTTTTTCCTTCCTTATTTACTGTATTCCGGACTCGGTTCTGTTGATGGTTGTGGTTGTCTGTATTTCATTTCCGTCCTTTAATGCTTTGGATTGGAGTTTAGAGATGGCTTGGGCGTGTTTCGAACAGGTTGGTTGAGCTTTAGTCCCATTTCTTGTTACCCAGATTTTTGGTGGTCCGCTTGAGCGGATCCATTCGCGCTCGAGCGGAGTTTGCACACCTTCAGTAGTTTGTCCGTCTGCAAAAGTACTGCAGATGTGTTTTTCACGCTCGAGCGGGTACCCTTGCGCTCGAGCGGGTGTTCTTTGTCTGTAAGTACTGGAAGAGTGTAATCTACGCTCGAGCGGGTTTCCCTTTGCACTCGAGCGGGTTTCCCTTTGTGCTCGAGCGGGTGTGTTTTGCAGTTGTGTCTTGACGCTCGAGC